TATTTTTTTTAACGTTGAACTGAACGAATCAGTTTACATATGACAAACGTGAATGTGAGTGACGTTCATTTTATAAATCTTCATCATATCAGGCCAACGTGAAATGCCAAGAGCAAAAGAAAATGTTTTGGGCCCTGGGACTCCTCAAGTCAAGTGACTTTGTCGAAGATCATTGGAAAAAGTAGAACACCGAGTATCTCTGGTCACAGCTTCTCAGTGATCTGCAGTTGGTTTGTACCAGGCTGGAGTTTCTGTTTCCTCCTCCACTCTGACCTGCTCTCACTTTAACTAATAAACACTCATCACTAGTTATCAGGACCTGATCAGTACATGAAGTAACTTTTTGTGCTCAGTTCAACACGAGACGTGATCCTCACAGTCAAGACTCAGTGTTAAAATGATTGGAGAGATCCAGATTCATGATAGAACACCATTGATTAATAACTAAACACATGATCGTACGTTTGTCACCTAAATGACCCATAAATCATCATCTGTATGAACTGAACTTTGAACTAGTTATTTTTAAGTGTGAACTGTCACACTGTCCACCTCTATGCAGGAGCCCAAACATTAGCTCTAGTGGTGCTGCTCCTACACTCTGTGCTGTGTGTGTCAACCTAACCTGACGGGGACTTAATTCTATTCCAGCCATATGATTTGTTCTGCATGGCGCTATTCTCATTATCATTGGCTGTTCATGTTGTCTGTCCATGGATGGAATGAGTTCTATCAATGTTGTATCGACCATGTTATATATTTTTATTGAGTAAAAATTATATTGTGATAATTATGTTTATTGTTTTATCGCCCAGCCCTAGATGAAGTGTCTGACCAACCTTTCAAAACACTTCATTACAACTGAGGTCAGGGCTACTGGACGGTAGTCATTTAGACAGACGGCAGGTGTGATTTCTTTAGTAAAGGAACAATAATAGACCTTTTGAAGCATGTGGTGATTACTGCCTGTGAGAAGGAGTGGTTGAATATCTCTGTGAACACTGGTGCTAGCTGGTTGGTGCAGGCTCTGAGGAACCATCCTGGAATGCCATCTGATCCCACTGCCATCCTGGTGTTTACTCTCCTGAAAGCCTTCCTGACGTTGTGCTCCGTGATGATAAAGTCGCTGTGCTGTGGTTTTCTCCACATGCATGCTGCTATTTGTTGAGGAATTTTTGACTATTCTCGCACATTACTGTATATTCCACTATATATTATGTATATATAGTGTATAATACATTATATCTGTACAGGTGCATAGTGCCTGTCTAATTCCACAGATGCTCCCTTGTCTCTCTAAGCTGTACCCAAGGTCAGGTTAGAGATAATGGACCAACCAACAGTGCATTGTAGTGTATACACTCAGGGACTTTCATATCTAACTCAGATGCCCCAGACAGAGAGGCAACAACTTCAACTCTCACCAACTTCATTGTGGTTTAGGAATGCATATTTACAGCTAACTATCCAATAGAATGGGAATACCTGCATGTGACAGAGAGTGACAGCAATTCTAGCCATTCCTTGATGTGCTGTTAGAATGGGTGACACAAGTACAGGAAGATATATGGGAATGCTGTGGGATAAATCTTGACAATTGCTCATGTTACTCTGTCAGTGTTTGTATATTGTTCCACCTTCTGGTCTCCTTGATGCATCAAGTCTACATTAATATCTTCTGCATGAGACATCAGCTGCTGCATGAGTTCTCCTTTCACCAGCTTCCAGAATACTTTCATAACACTATTGACACTGTTAGTGCTGAGAGCCTGCTAGCGTAGTTAGCTCTGTTAACTACAGCCTTGAAGCGAGCATAAAAGGTGTTCAGCTCATCAGCTAAGGACATATCTGCATACCGCATCTTGTATGCCGGTGTTTTAAAGTCTTATATTGTCCTCAGATCCTCCAACAGGAAGGTAGGTGGCTTGAATCCCATCCAATGACGAAGAGTCCTTTGGCAAGATACTAAACCCTGAATGGCCCCTCATAGATGTTGAATGCACTATTCGAAGTTCCTTTGGATAAAAGCGTCAGCTAAATGACATGCTTCTTGAGTAATTATGTTGGGACTGCAACTCCAGTTTCCTCCTGTAGCGCAGCCTCCCTCTCTGCACACACTGTATGATGCAGTTTTTTATTCATCCATGTTCAAAGTGGAAAGCCCCCTGTTGTAGGCAGTGGTGTGGGATCGCAGAGCATCGCATATGTTTTTATCCACCCACAGCTTCTGGTTTGGGAATGTTCTAATTGTGGCTTTCAATCTATCAATCAATACAATTTAATTTTAACTTCTTTTAACTTTTAAAAGTTCTTTTAACTTTTAAAAGTTCTTTTAACTTTTAAAACTTTTGACTTTTAACTTCCCAAATCTATTGTCCTGTCAATCAGGTGAACCAAGAAGAACTTGGCCAGATGCTATGGTCACATACTGCTGGGTTCAGCCATGTCTTGGTGAAGCAGAGGAGGTTGCCTTCACGGATGCCCCTCTGGAACTTAACCCTGCCCCTGAGGTCATCTACCTAGTTCTCCAGAGACTGGCTGTTGGCTAATGATTAAGTCGGACCTTAGACACCAAACACTGACCTGTTCCACTGTTGCAATAAACGCTTGAATGTGAGTTGTCTGACTGAACTTGGTTTAATCTATAAACTTTAAAAAAACATTGCAGATGCTGAGTTTGTTAAAGGTGGAACCATGTTGCATGAAGATGCCTGAATCCCACTTTGCCCCTTTCTTTTTTTGATGCTGTTACATATTAGATGTGACAAAAATTATAAATATTACCTCCTGCCCAGTGATCAGAAGCAAGCTGCCCTCCCTGCTGTATAGGACATGTCCAGAAATGACATCCAGGATCAACAGTTCACTCCAGCAGTTGTGCAGTAACTTCATCTGATCACACACCTTGGAACAGAAAAAGAACAAATAAAGTTTGAATACAGTGTCATCACATCTTTTAGCAGAGTAATCCTTTAAGTTAAAAATAAAATTAATGTTTGGACTTGCTATTAGTCGGTAAGGCTTTAGAGACAAGCTTAGACTCCATCTCATCGTAAGTCTTATTAATTAATTTGTTATATACTAAAAGACAGTTCCTCTCGGTTACATCATCTGTCAGCTGCTGGCTGAACTTTTAAAATCTGTGTCAGGCTCCACCTATTCTGTCTCTCAAATTGCATCCAGAACTGCCAGCATTGCAAATCATAGGTGTTGTTTGACACTTAAATTGTTTAATACATAGGACACAAGGGTTACAGTGGTTTATGGGACATCCACTCAGGGTTGGGAGGTGCTGACTTTACTTAGTATTGGTGAAATGCAACCCGTCTTCCATTTCTGCTCAAGAAGTAACTATTGACCAATCTTAAGACCGATCTTAACATTCTTCAGTCACTCTGATCAAGTTTGAGTTTACACCCATTTTAGTCCATACTCACATATAGATTGAAAAACCGATTATTATATCTCACCATAGTTTCTGGGTAGGCAGCAAGATTAGTGTCACAATTCAATATCTGACCAAAAATGAAATCTGGTCACAATCTTCCCTTCTGTTCCTGAGTTAAAGCATTGAATGCTGGTCATACATCTTTATATATACATACATTATTATATCTCAGTAGTTGACCTTTGACCTTTCGGATATAATATGTCATGACTTCATCATTATAATACTTCCTAGAAAAGCACAGCTGAATCATGGTGCCTCTCTGGCATACCAATTTGTGTAAATAAATCTATTTATAATAACCCCCCCATTTATATCCACTGCCTTGATGATGTATATGCAATTATGTACATACTTGTGGTACTATATGAAGATACCAGAGCCCAGAAGGAAACCCGGATATCGAATATGAAACCTGTGTACTGTCCTTGTGCTCCAAACACAGCAGTAAACCATGGTGTCCCTGGCACTCTAGTAAAACTTTGGTCACAATGCCTGCACTGCTGCATCGACAAGGCATCAAAAAGTAAACCTGACTCCCTTTCTTTAAGAGGTGGTCAGCTCCCTATGCTCACCAGACTCATGTCTGCAATAAGCCTCTGAAGACATAAACAAAGGAAAAACAAACTACATCATGTTGACTGTATGGTCATGTCAGAGATTGGGGTTGTAGGCTCTAAAATAATAACAGGTTGAAATGTCAAAACATTTTCCTGTCAGATACTTTATTATTCAGTGGTATCACTTATGTTTTACAGGCAATGACTGAAGTGCAAATGATACTACACAGCCACTACACAGTAGCATTATTCGGTAGGATGTTAACACAGAGCTGCTGTATAAACACCACTTTAATTTGAATTGGTCTTGTTGATATCATGTAGACCACCAGGGACCACCAGGGACCGGACTGAAGCTATGCAGGTTTGTAATTTACCTGCATAGCTTCAGTCCGGTCCCTTTTAAGTGTTTCTAGTCTTTGTCTGCCTCTCCATCTTCTTCCTCTCTCTTCTCCTAATCCTCTCCCTTCATCTCTGTGCAGCTCTCAGCTGCTTCAGTCTGCAAACGAAGAAAACATGTATCCTGCTAAAGCCATGTCGCTGTTATCAGACAAAACAAGTCCAATTAAATCACTTGTTTGAGTGGCACCCCTAAAAGGTTATTATTTTTCTTATTTTTCTGCTAAATTAATTGCCTTTTTGGGAGACTTAACATACTTGAAAACTCACCAAATTAGAAGGGCGCGTTTGGTGAAAATTTACGTATTTTGAATGTCCTTGGAATTTGCATCTAAAAATGGCTCAATAGCGCCCCCTACAAAATTTCAATTAGGGTCTTCCTATTCATTTACTTTCGCCAAGGGTAATGAGAATTGGCACACATGCCTCCATACTACTTGTGTGGTGTCATCCAAGTATCACGACATTCATATTCGACTCGGAACAAGGTCATGTACACCCTGTTTTAAACCTAAAAGTCCACTACTGGAAGTGGTGATGCAAGTGGATGTAGCCAAACGATGGTGTGCCCAAGAGTATGTTATGTTTTTTCTGTTGTTTTATTACGTCTGAAGATGTGGTTGCAATTTACTTCAATTGTATTTGATATGGCTGCAATGCTGTTTACACCTGAAAAGTGTTTTGTGGACTTAAACACTTCACCCATCCCTCCATCACCATAGTGGTGATTGGATAATGAGTGAATTTTCATTTTTCTGGCCCTTTAACATCTCAGAGAATCACTGTCTGACCAGATAGTCACCATGGATGGTATTAGGTTGGCCCACAGCTCCACTGTGAAGAACCAGGACATGGCATTTAACCCACACATAAACAAATCTCTAGGACAGCTTTCTTCCACCTATGCAATATTGAAAATTAAAAACATCCTTTCTCAGAAGGATGCTGAAAAACTAGTCCATGCATTTGTTACCTCTAGACTAGATTACTGCAACTCTTTATTATCAGGATGTCCCAGTAAGTCTGTGTAAAGCCTCCAGTTGATTGAAGGAGAGATCATATTACTCCAGTCTTAGCTTCTCTACATTGGCTCCCTGTAAAATTCAGAATAGAATTCAAGATCCTGCTCCTCACATTTAAAGCCCTTAACAATCAAGCCCCTTCATACATCAAAGACCTGATAACACCGTTGTGATGGCAGGGTGTTGTTAGGGCACCAACTGCTGGACAACAGGGAGGAGTGGCTCAGCCAGGGGCATTGGTAGAGGCGTTGTGGGTGAAGGTGAGGTGTGTGCATGGGATGTTCACAAATACCCAGTGGTGACTCTGCTAATTTCATATAAGGGGAAAAAAACATAGAGTTGAGGCTGGGGTTAGTTCCCGTCTCACGCACCCCCTGATTTTGGGCACAGATTGCCCGGGGTTCCGGGGACAGGCGAGAGCGGCAGTGGGGGTGCGTTCACGTGTGGTAGGGAAATGTGAGTTGTGTGCTGTGCTCACCGGGGAAACGGAGCCCGAGACTGTCGAGGGGGCGGCAGGAGTAGAGGAGCTTCTCCCTTTGATTGAGGTACCGTTTGAGAGAATGGTTTCAGGGCATGGACCTCACCGGGCCATTAGACCAGAGCGCACGGGGACATCGCTTTGCGTTGGTTCTAGTGGAGTACGCAACGCGATATTCCGAGGCAGTGCCGCTGCGAACCATCTCCACGGAGAGCGTTGCGCAGGCATTGTTTCACGTCATCTCCCGCGTTAGGATTTCGAAAGAAATCCTGACTGATCAGGGCACATCTTAGATGTCACGCACACTACGCAAGCTGTACGAATTGCTGGGCGTCCATTATATCCGGACTAGTGTTTACCACCCACAGACCGACGGGCTGGTGGCACGGTTTAACAAGACACTATAGAATCGTAAGTTCATGCACGAGGATAGCCATAATTGGGATAAATGGTTAGACCCTCTGCTGTTTGCAGTGCGGGAGGTTCCCAAGTCCTCCACAGGATTTTCTCCCTTTGAACTTTAGTTTGGCCGGAAACCTCGGGGCGTCTTGGACCTGGTAAAAGAAGACTGGAAGCCCCCTGGACTTGGGGTATTATCACGGGAGAATTTGCTCCAGACCCAGCAGCGACAGCAGCACCTCTACAAGGGACAAAACTGAGAACATTTGATCCGGGAGATAAAGAATTACTCCCATCCTCTAGCTCCAAATTACTCACCAAGTGGCAAGGGCCCTTCATGGTCACACGACGAGTGGGGGAGGTAGACTATGAAGTGGTGCGGTCTGACAAGGGTGGAGCAACACAGGTTTACCACCTCAACCTCCTTAAAGAGTGGAGAGAGGTGGCCTCTGTGTCTCGGGCTACCACTGTGATTGAGAGAGATGAGTTGGGACCGGAGGTATCAAAACCTGATTATTCTGCCCGGGTCTGTTATGACGACCATCTCTCTCCGAGCCAGAGAGCAGAGGTTGCTTTGTTGCAGCGGGCAGTTTTTTTGGAGCTGACCAGCCCCCTGACCGGCCTGTCTCGAAAGGGTGCCTCAGATCCGGTCCAGTGGAGGGAGCAGTGTCAGCTGGCATTTGAGCGGGTTAAGCTAGCCCTCTGTGTTAAGCCACTGCTGTATTCTCCTAACTTTTCTCTCCCTTTTGTCCTGCAGATGGACACCTTGAACAGTGGGCTGGGGGCCGTTTTGTCCCAGGAGGTGGAGGGGCCGACCGCCCCGTACTGTACAATAGCAGGAAGCTGGCTAAGAGGGAGCGGAACTACAGTACGGTGCAAAAGGAGTGCCTCGCCATTCGGTGGGCGGTCAGGGGCCTCCGCTATTACCTCTTTTACCCTCTGGTCAGACCATGCCCTGCTCCTGTGGCTCCACCGCATGAAGGATGCTAATGCGTGGATCACTCGCTGGTATCTGGCTTTGCAGCCGTTCAACTTCCAGGTGATCCACAGGCTGGGTACCCGGATTGACTTCCTCTCCCGCTTGGCAGAGGGGGGAGGGTAGGCTTGCGGCCGCGGGATCCCGGCCTGAGTCGGGCGGTGGGGGTATGTGACGCCGGGGTGTGGTTAGGGCACCAACTGCTGGACAACAGGGAGGAGTGGCTCAGCCGGTGATCAGACAGCTGTGCAGAATCGAGTCATCAGGCAATCAATAAGAGCACGCTGGTAACCTGGTTCTGTTCTCTAGCAGTAGGCTGGGTTCCTGACACTGGAGCAGCCGGTGGACGTGTGTGGCATCCTGAAATAAAGACTGTTGTGGAAACGCCATTCTCTCCTCCCTTGTTTACCCGGAGTGGGCCGAGTATTCCCACAACCCCATTATCCAAATAGATTACTTCGTTCATAAAACACAGGCTCTCTTGTGGTTTCAAGAATCTGTAAGAGTAGAACAGGAGGTAGAGCATTCAGCTACCAGGCTCCTCTCCTGTGGAACCAGCTCCCACTCTGGGTTCTAGAGTCTGTAAGAGGAGAACAGGAGGTAGAACCTTCAGCTACCAGGCTCCTCTCCTGTGGAACCAGCTCCCACTCTGAGTTTGGGAGGCAGACACCATCTCAGCATTTAAAGTTAAACTTAAAACTTTCCTTTTTGATTAAGCCTATAGTTAGTTCTGGATCAGGTGAGCTTTCTGTCTCTCTGCCCCCACATTTATTTATTTTATATGTAACTAACTTTGTATTTTTTCCACTCCATCATATCTCTCTATTTCTTTCTTCCTCTCTGCATGTATCTCTGCAGGATTCAGAAAACAACTATTATTATTATTATTATTATATGAACTGTTGCTGCTATCATTACTAACATCTATAATTATCACCCTTATTGTTTTCATTATAACAACCAGTCTGCCAAAGCTTAAATATGATGGTTACACAACTGTTGCTGGTCTCCCTCCTCCCTGGACACAACTCATTAACACTTACCCCCGTATTTCGGTTTGGTAGTTTGGGGCTGCTGTTGCTTTGCACTTAAGGTTTATTTACAATGTGAACAGTGTATATACAGAAATGAGGTGCCAAACAGTTCGAGTTTGTGTTTCTGCTCCTGCACATTGATTGGTGGAACAATCAAAATTGTAGCAGGGAAGTTGCAGAAAATGGCAACATTCAATTAAGTTAAAATATGTAACATAAAGTAAAAATATCCATAAATTCATACAGAAATTCAGTGCACTTTCCACCACTGGTAAATTAGATGTGGCACTGTTAAATAAAGAAAATCAAAGTATACCACAGTCCCACCAAGTCTATGGTGGACCAACAGAAATACTATTAACCATACATATGAATCTATTTGCTTGAAAGGAAAAGTAAAGCAGAATAATGTGGACTGAACGAAAAGTGTTTTTAAATTACCTTTGTGTTTATGTATATAAATACAGAGACACAAGGTAGGACCTTACCTTGAGATGTTTAAAGAAGATGGATTTGCGAGCCCACTCCACAATAGAGACCACCATCTGGTCAGCCATGAGGCACATCAGGGTGAAAGTACTAGGGTTCCTGTGTTTCCTCCAGCTAACCATCTCCTGCTGGAGAGAAGTAGTGACCTTTTTCTGGAGTTGTTGCTGATCCAGATCACACAGCAAAAACTCCATCACTAGCTGAGGTATCCTTGGACCTTGTGGAGAGTTTGAGTATAGATTGTCAGTGTGGATTCCTTCAGCAGAGCCCTGTGACCTTGCACAGTTCTCTGTGTGCTCTGATTTGATTGTTGAGTTCGAAAAGGAGAAGCACTGATTCTTTGTGGCAACAGGTAAGCTGGAGGGCAGAAGTGGTGGAGACTGGTAGCTGATACAGTCATTCTGGGCTTTGGTCACCAAGGTGCTGTGAAGGACTGATTCTGGTTGGAGGCCACCAGTAAAGTTAGAGACACACTGGGATTTTGAGGAGATCAGAGGTGCTCTGCTCTCACTTCTGAATCCACAAGCTTGAATCAAAGCCTTTCTCTGCTTGAGGGCACGATCTTGTTTGTATATAGGGCCAAACTTGTTTCTGCCACCTCGCATACGATCTGCACGAACAGCTGTTGAGAAAAGTTGATTTGTTTAGTGTAATTGTTTACATAAATAATTTAAAAAAAAATGTATTAGTAAATCTGTCACAATTATGTCCTCTGAACTCTTGTCAAGACTATTAAGAGACCTATCTGTTTTCTGCTGTATGGACTTTTTACATTTTGGACATTTACCTTGTTTACCTTTGTGTTCTGTATTTGGTTGTTTGCACTCTTAGTTCTTTTAATTGTTTAACGTTTTATTTTAAAGTTTAGTTTTTGGTGTGTCTCTTCTTCTGCTTAACTTCCTGTCTGTGTTATGTTTTTCACTTTTGTTATTGTCTGCACTTATTTTAATGTTTTTTCACATAGTTTGCTATTGTGAATGATATTAAATGATTTCATAACGTCTTGTTTTAGTTTTGAAAGTTTAAGAGTGAGGTAGCTGGATGCTTTGATATGGTTGTGTTAAGATTATCTTGTGAGTTATATTATGTGGTATATTAAGAAAATGTGTGTGTGTGCCTGTGTGTTTGTGTGTGTGTGTGAGTTCAGTTTGAAGACACGTGTGTAAATTCATGAGTTAAACTACACAAACAAACTTTTCTTTGGATCATTATGGAACCTTGGCAGGAGAATTTAGACTATATTGGGTCGCCATGTACCTCAAATTTAGCTACTGCCATCTTATGGAACTTTACAGTTTTACTTTACTTTAACTTAATGTAGCTAGAATGTTAAATACCTTCCCTGTCTGTTTGGTGTAGTTGTTCAATGTTTAGGTTTTTCAACAAGTGACACATGAATGAAGAATATTTTTAGACGGCACAGCCCTGTCTTTGTGGTGTAGTTGTATTAACACGCATTTGAATTATCAATTACATGGGGCTAATTTTGCTTGTATAAATCAATACCCAGCATTTCTTTAATAACTCTAAATCCTAGAGTTGCTTACACACACACACACACACACACATATATATTTATATATATATATGATCCAACCCTGAACCCTAAAACTTGAAACGTTGACCAATGCTATATATTTGATCAACTGTTATCAAACAAGTTGGGGGACTTGTCAATATTCAACTTGAAACTGCATTTAAACCATGTTTTAAGCCTAAATGTCCACCTATGTCTTTCAACGAGGTGCGTACAGGGACAGCCGGACATGCTAACTGGTATATTAACTTCTATGAAAAATGTCTTCCTTACCTTCCAGTCGCATGCCAACTTGAAGACACTTTTGAAATCTGCAGAAAGGACACTGTTTCCTCTGAGTTTTATCAATGCTGCATGCCTGGTTTTCTGCACAGATGTACTTCTTGTTGTTTTGGACCGTTCTTTTGAAAAAACCCTGCAAGTGTTTATGAAAAAGAAGGATCTCTTAAAGCATTCTGTAACCATGACTTTTTTTTTCATAGACACTACATTCTTACTTTTGTCACATTCTATTTTTGTGTTAGTATCTTTCATAAATTAGGTTGAACTTAAATCTGTTTTTTTTTCACAACAATTGTTTTTCATACACTGACACTGTTGGTAGTGTTGTGGATCCAGCCCCCAACTAATTCCAATAAAGCAAACATTTGAGCCAAAGGAAAAAAATAAATGTCGCATTCTNTCATACTGTTTGAGTTGTGTGCACTGACACTGTTGGTAGTGTTGTGGATCCAGCCCCCAACTAATTCCAATAAAGCAAACATTTGAGCCAAAGGAAAAAAATAAATGTCGCATTCTAAGATAAAATGTAATAAGAGACTGATGCAAATATAGTCAGACTTTGAAAAGCCAGAACCAAGCTGAAAAATCCTCCTAATAACAACTTGACAGGATAGAAAAAATATTAAATTAGAAAAAAGAGATTTGATTGCAGCTTCTTAACTGAAATTCTGTGTGACAACAGATCTGCCTGAACTGCATAATGCCAGGTAGGATTGTTAGATCTGGACTGATCCTCGCTCTACATCAGCGATCATTTATGGTTACAAATATTTAACGAATTCACGGCTATTGAGCCTCGTGCGTAAATGCACACAGAAACACGCTTTGGAGATGTCGACACAGCTGCTTATGAAAGCAAAAGATATTTAATAAACGTTTTACTACGAACAATCATTTAGTCAGGGCGGCCGAATGTTCATCCACTTAACGGCCAAAAGATCATTACATTTTCTGAAGTGATATATATTTATACTTTAAACGTAGAACTTATCCAGTTATTTTAACTTAAAGGTACAGTGTGTAGAATTTTGTGATATCTAGTGTTGAAATTTCTCACCCTCTCCTGAAAAAGAACCTGTGGTAGCTTCAGTTGTCATAAAAACTCAAAAGGTGTTTAGTTTGTCCAGTCTGGATAAATGTAAAAAACATGGCGACCTCCATAGAATAGACCCCCTCCATGTAAATATAAAGTATTTAAATATAAAGGGCCTTTTCTGGGGTAAAGAAAACAAACAAATCATAGATGAAACGAACTAGTGGAAGCATCATGAGGATTATTCTACATTAAATTTCTGCCAATAGATCCCTTTCACCTAAATCTTACACACTGGACCTTTAAAACCTAAAGTTTAAACAACTTTTTGTTTACTAATTCATCGTCCAATTGCGTCATGAAAAATATAAATTACCTTGCAGCTTTCGCAGGTCAGCAGACCGTAGTGGTATCCTGAAACTTTATCTCCACAGACTGGACAACACTCCTCTAAATGGACAAAATGTCTAAATTCCATTCTGGAAAACTCTGAAAAAAATGCAACATTAGACTAGTGACAAAAATTTTAATAAACTTAACACGCATGCAGCAGATGAAACTAACTGTGAAAAGCAGTAAACATATTACCGCACCACCACACCGAAGAGATTTGGATATTGACCGCCTTAACTGAGCACTGGGTTCTGATTGTGATCTGAGCAACACTGGGCTCTTAAACCTTCGTAGGAGGGGCACTCTCCATGGTGCTGGGGTCTGACATAAGGGATGTACCACGGAGCAAACGTCAGGGTTAACTTTGTGTCGTCAGGTGTCAGGTTCATGATTAATGATTGACCAGATATGCTGCCTCTTAGCCAATCTCTTTTCCTATAATATGTCTATTTAAAACAGTCTAAACACAAATGCCCGCATCGCAGAGGTGGCAAAAGTACTCACATTCTTTACTTAAGTACAGATGCTTGTGTAAAAAAAGACTGGTAAAAGTAGTACTGTACTGAAGAAGCAAAAGCAAAAGTAAAAATTATTATTTTTACTTCAATTATACACATGACTCTTTTGATAAGCAAAACGAAAAAAGTTGTAGGCAAACAAAATAGGATAGTTTTCCTCTTCTGTTAACAACCTGCACAGAGCTGGTACAGAGAAAAAAATCACTGGACACAATCTAGATTTGCCGCCAAATTTCAGACAGAATAATAAAGACTGAACTGAACCGAGGTACTGCATGAGATGGATGGGGAATGTGCTCGCGTTGATTAAGTCCCTGCDCTTTGTACACACCGCCCGTCGGTACTACAGATTGGATGGTTTAGTGAGGTCCTCCGATCGGCCCCACCGGAATCGGTCACGGCCCTGGCGGAGCGCCGAGAAGATGATCAAACTTGACTATCAAGAGGAAGTAAAAGTCTTAACAGGGTCTCGCGCTGCTCCCGAGCGTCTGCCGAGACAGGGGCAAGCGAGTGAGTGAGAGGTGCGCCGTGCGTAAATGCGTGAAACGTGAACGTGAAACCAAGCAACGAAACCCATAAACCTTACATTTGCATCTGAAATAATGTGTCCTGTTTAAAGGACTGAAAAATAGAAACTTATTGAAGATTTAGTAATTGAAAAATAAGATAAAATAAGATAAGATAGACTTTATTCATCCCACACTAGGGAAATTTGGACATTACAGCAGCAGAAGGCCATTAAGTTAGAG